CAACGCCTATAGGCGAAAAAGAACAGTGATTTCGCTTACCCCCATCACCGTCCAAAGTTCATTGCGCGGTCACGATTGTCCGATAGTGTTTCTTTTTTCATTTTTTTTCATAAAAAATAGGGGAATCTTCGAAAAAGATAAAAAAAATATTTTACATGAAAAACATTGACCAAAATACCCCCAAAAAGTTTCGGGGGTATTTTGGTCAATTTTTCCACGGATAATTTTTTTTATATTTTTATTAGATGTGCCTCAGTAAGATGTACATACCCTCCAAATTTCAGGTCATCCGATTTGTAGTAAAAAAATGAAAAATAACCGCGCGATGAAAGTTGGACGGTGATGAGGGTAGGCGAAATCACTATTCATTTTCGCTTATAGCCGTTGGGAAGACTTTTCCATATATATATATATATATATATAAGCTTTGGGTGACTTCCTGGTGCCCATCGTCTACTAGGGGGGTCTCCTCTAAATAAAGATTTTCCAAATGAAAGCATCATGTGCGCTCAGGTACAACTGAACTAGCAGCAAGCCATGACAATGGAGGGACTCAGGAAGCTATAGATACCTAGTGTTTGGGCCCTTGAAAATTATTGGAGCCCTACTCGACATACATTGATGAGGTACCTTACCTTCAAGGCTACCAACCTCCCGCTTTTGAAAAGTTTGATGGGATAGGATCCCACAAGGGCATATCATATTGAACCTATTGGGAAGATGCCACCCTTTGTCCATGTTGATGAAGAAGGCGGTCCCATTTGAGTGGGATGAGGCATGCCAAAAGGCATTTGATAGCTTAAAATAATATCTCCTGAATCCCAGTTCTAACCGCTCCCTTGAGAGACAAACCGCCAATTCTATATGTGGCAGCCTAGGGGCCCTATTAGCCCAGCACAACGAGATTCACTTTGGCTCAATCGGTGCTCGCTGGCATTTATCACGACTTGTGGCAAGTTGTATAGGTTGAGCCGGAAAAGAGGAAAAGCTTGCCCAAAGATTGGGGACTTCAAGACAGACTTTCCTGTTCATTATGGGGGGGGGCATGGGTTAGGGCCTGCTTTCCCCTACTTTCCCCAAAGCTTCTATTAAAGGCGACTCTTGACCATTTGTGTCCCTGAGAATGGGACACTACTATCTTCATGCACACTTTCAGACCCTATCGGGAGGTCAAAAGTTAGATCTAAGGCAAAAAGAGGAAGGGTTTCAACTGCACTCCCTATAAGTGCCCTTCAGCCTTCAGCTCAAAATCCACCAATCTGGAATGGGTTTTATCCAATTTACCAAATCATGAGGAACGGGGTAGACTGCACACTTCCCAAAAAAAAGAAAAAAGAAAGTAGGGGGTTGGGTTGCGATGCCAAATAACTCTTTCCAGATATTTCCTCATTAGAAAGGGGTGTTGCCTTTTCATGGGATGGGCCTTTGTGTCCAGAAAAGGACCCCATACCAGCCTAACTTTTGCTAAAATTTCTGATATTGAAGCTGGCGCTTGACGTGAGCTATCTCAATTTTCTCGGTTTATCTTTTACCTCCAGTGCTTCTTGTAGAAGCATGGACAAGTGGGTCTCGATCTGAGAGACGTCACGATAATTTGGATCATATCACAGGTATGAATCCCTTTCCCTTAATTTGATACGAACATCCCAACTAACCTTCTCGAATAGAAAGATAAGTGAAGACGACTACTGGATTCTATGACTGGATTGCCTATGCTCATATAGGATAGGAATTTTCTGCAATTTGGCAGAAGGAATAGGACCAGGCAATAAATTAATGAAAAGGACTTCAGATGTATTTGCAGTCATCGAAGACTTGGGCAATATAATACTTCAAACAAATAATAACTAAGTAGCACCCTAACTACAAGTATCCCACAACATAAGAGGGGAGTATGTGTGCATGTGAATTTTATATTTAGAGAAATAATTCTTCGTAAACATCTTAAATTGATGAAGAACAGCTTTTCCAAAAAAATTGAAGGCCTTCTCAATGTATTATTCTTCAAGAAGGAGAATGACTTCCCCAAGTGGATCGGCTTTTTAGACATGCCCAAATCAAGAAAGTTGACGCTGTCAGAAGTCTCCTCTAACAAACCTCCCAGGTAGCCATATTAACAATCTACAATAATAAATCAAACAATAAGGTGGTTGCCATAAAAAGGAAGGAGGGGAGGGTGAGGGTGAGGGTGAGGGTGAGTGGGGGCAAATGGGGCATACCCTTTCCCCTGCAACCAATGAATGAAAATTCAGCCGCCCAGCTGCCTAGGTGGAATATTTTGAAAAACGCCTAGTTGTGGACTAGGCGGCTTTTGCTGGGCGCCCGCCTAGGAGGTTTAAAAGGTGGGCGCCGCCTTGAAAATATGATAATTAATTCATAATTATTAATCCATTAATTAATAATTACCAATATTATTTATTAATTTATTGGCAAACCAAAAAATAGTATTAATTCGTAATAGCTAATTTATCAAAAATAGTATTAATTCGTAATAGCTAATTTACCAAAAAAATAGTATTAATTCGTAATAGCTAATTTATCAAAAATTCTTTTTGCATATGATAGTAATTAATTTATTGGTAAACCAAAAAATAGTATTAATTTGTAATTATTATCATATAATATATACAATAAAATGAGGGGAGGTTTGGGGGATCCAAATTTTAAAAAAAAAAGACAACACAGGCCGCCTTTGGGTTTGAGGGCCTGCTTAGGCGGTGGCCTTAGTGCTTAGGCAAACCAGAGCCAAAACCTTCGATAAACTAATAATTACGAACTAATACTATCTTTTGATTTACCAATAAATTAATAATTACTGTCACAAGCAAAAAGAATTTTCGATAAATTAATAATTATGAATTAATATTATTTTTTGGTTTATCAATATTTTTTGATTTATCAATAAATTAATTATTATTATCACATACAAAAAGCATTTTCAATAAACTAATAATTACGAATTAATATTATTTTTTTATTTATCAATAAATTAATCATTATTGTTACATGCAAAAAGCATTTTCAAGAAATTAATAATTCCAAATTAATACTATGTTTTTGGTTTACCAATAACATAATAATTACTATCACATGCAAAAAGCATTTTCGATAAATTAATAATCAACAATTAATGATTATCAATAAATTAATAATTACGAATTATAATTATCAATTAATAAAATAATAAGTATGAATTAATTATAATATTTTCAAGGTGACGCCTAGGTGCCCGCCTTTTACATTAGCTAGGTGGGCGCCTTGGGCACCTAGCAAAAGCCGTCTTGGACAGGCTGCCTAGTCCATGACTAGGCGTTTTTCGAAAAATGGCGCCTAGGCTGCTGGGCAGCCGAATTTTCGTTAATTGGCAATGGACCACTGCCAATTAAAGAGCGATTAAGGGCAAGTTCAAGGCTGACACAAAGAAATAAACATTGCAAGAGATGCAACACATCTAAGTATGACCAACACACAATTTTAAAAATGCAGCTATAAAACATATTGCAAATTCCTTATATAATTGTTAACTCGAATTCTAATGGTATACTCTAAACATGTACAAGAATGAGATAGAATACATAATGCTACAAGAACACAACAACGCAAGCATCCATAAGACAACAATGCATCATCAAGTACATGAAGCCATCTTTGCAATGCTTTGGCTGAGGTTTAAAGCAGCTTGATCGCCCAAACGAAAAAAGACAAGGAAATACAAATGCATAATAAAGTGACTCTCTTTCTTCTGGACAAGTAAAAAGCCATCTTATTGTTGCATATGCAAACAAGAAATCTATCACTGTCATCCAACTTGAGAAGGGATTCACTTCTGTATGGTTGCATTTATCCTATTATCTAATACCCATCTAAAAGGAAAATTTCTATTTACCCATGCAATAAATACATGATATCAATACCCGAGCATTCTCTGTAAATTGGAAAAGAAAAGCAGTGATAACATGCATTGGTCTACTTCACGAAAAGTCAAAAATAAAACCAAACTTAGGTCTTTAACATCAGCAAGTGTGCAAAACATACTTGAACCCTAGTTATGGCAAGGTTCAAGACAGCTGTCTATGTTCTATGCGTTAAAATACCTACAGCTCGACTTCCAAGGGAGAACGAATATGCTGCTGCTATGTCCTTAGATCAAAGGGAGCTATCATTTACAGTGCCTCAATCTATACAGAAGTCAAATGCATAATATGATATTAAAGCTTCCAAGACCAAAATCACTCAACCGCATCCACACCCTCATGCATGAGGAGCATATTTCTATGTTCGAGATGTTGTATCTGTGGATTTTTTGTCCTACCACTAATGACTTCAGATTCATCCATCTAACAACACCTCTCTTTAGAAACATATCTCATAAGAGCAGAGAAACTATCAGGAAAGATACAGATGGCTGTTTCACACAGTTTAGTTTGGGACTGAGTCTCAAGTTTTCTTTTTATTTTATTTTAGAATGACTGACTCTCTAGTCAAGTACCACTTTTAACTCATTGGTTATGAGTGTCGTCTCTTTGAAAAGTCATCAAAGGCTTCAAGCTCAATTTCAACTTGGCAGGTATTCTGGCAGATGATTTTTTTTTCCCTACCCTTTTTTCTTGAGAAAGGTGACAAAGAGGCTGATTTTGCAAAAACTGATTCACATAAGCTTTATGAATATTTATCAAAAGACATTGCCAATAAATTGAGACGTGGACTAGAAATGCCAACATACAAGTTGCCACATGATATTTCCCTATCTCTTTCAGTTGAGTGGATCTTTTAGCTTTCCCTTTGAAGTGATAGTTCTTTTGATATTTTCCTGGATCTATTTTATCCTTTTAGAACCCATGATTCAGTAGATTTTCTCGTTTTTCCAATTTTAAGAACTTATGGATCTTTTAATACCCTCCCCGCTTCCCCTCCAAAAGGAAAAAATTAAGCACAGGGGATATTAACTCCACAACAATACATGAACATAAATTACAAGGAAATGAAAGCAAGCGGCATACCATCGGTGAGGTCATTGGGGCTCTTCAAGTAATCGTTATCAGCCTGCTTATAAGAGTCTTCAATAGAACATGTACAACAGAGCCACCGACGCATCCTCTCTTTCTTGCTTAAAACTCTTCCTTGGTTGCCACACGGATGCTCCAGACATGCAACAAACTTTGGGGACGGATCATGTGCCTATTCATACAAAATAAGGATGATTCACGTAAGAATTGTGATAATACAGCACAAATATTAACTGCCTGTCATGCTATATCACAAAGATCAATCTAAATACATATTCACACTTCAAATGAGAATTGCAAATAGTTTGAAACCAGAAAATAGACTGATAAAGCGATCTGAAATGTGTCCTCATTAATGATAATGGAAAACTGAAGAGACCATCTAGTGATCTAGGTAATTTGAAAAATAGCATTTCAGGGGATCAATAGTATCCAACGAATTTAAAACCATGACACTTAATTCTCACCAGCAAGACATGGTGCTGAATTTCTTCTTCCATCAGGAAAATTGTTGTCAAGAATTGTTCAATGACAGGTTCTAGATGTACAGATTGAGATAAATTCAACTAATAGAAATAATTTAAACAAAATTTTCAAATAATGCAAATAATGGGCCCAATAATGTTCAAGAAAGACCCAAATATGGCATTGTAAGAAAATTTCTATCAAGTGTGTTTCTGCAAACCCTATCTCGGCGGTTCCCAAATAAATTCAGAAAACTCAAATCATTAAATCACATAAAATTCCCTAAAATAATCCCAAAATTCATCGAAGTTCAAAATTGATCTAAACTGAAATCTGACAGTATTTAAAAGGTAAAAAAACTATTCCAAGACAGATCACCACAACGAAAGCTTAAGAACCCAAGAAAGAACTCTAGGATCAAAGTTTCAAAAGAGAATCCAATGCCAAAAGAGGAGAAGAACCCCACAAAAATCAATCAATCAATTCCCCAAGTTTCCAATCATTCACCTCCAAAAATGGAAGCGTGATCGCCCCGCTTTACACCCTTGATTCGCAAGGAAAGAACAGAAGGAAATGATATCTTCAAATATTAGCGTTAAATACGATCTGAGACAGCAAACCCTAAAAGCTAAAAAGGCGAAATTCTCGAAATAAAGAAAGATGTCAAGGCAACAAAGCAAAACCGTAGTGGGTGATTTACAAAGCTGGAAGATACATGGAAGATACAAACCATACATCAAAATAATCAGGAAAATTGAGAGAGAGATGTCACCTGGAAATGAAAGTGAGAAAATATCGCTTTTTGTGGAGAAAAAAATGGAGGGTTTTCCTTCAATGGCTTTTTTTTTAATATGAAAGGAGAAAATTGAGGAGGATGGGTTATTAAGCTTAAAAATAGGATTAATTAGAGCTTTAAAAATAGGATTAATTGTGATCTGTAATTATAATAATGACCAAATGGGTCCTTCATTTTATAGGGAATGACCAAATTGCTATTAAGCATTAGCCGATCCATCCGTTCTGTATATCTCACCCTTCTAAAATCTAAAATCCAGGCAAATTTAAAATAAAAATAAAAAAACTCATATTTCTAAAAATTAAAAAATTCATAGTTCATATATGCAACCTTGCATGTGCACCTAAAAAAATCCTCTAAAGATAATGTTCGGCATTAGCGAACCATCCAATCGATCATCTTGACCAGGAGATTTGTGGATATTTCGAAAAAATTAAATTTTATATCCTCTATTTTTGAAAAATTTTAGGTGTTTGTAAATCTGTTTGATTCATATCATTTTTAAAATTTTAAATTAATAGCTAAAGATACAACTCATTTGCACTTTATTTCTATAGTATGAACTATAAGGCGGGCACTTTATACAAACCTCACCCTTTACAAATTGTCTAGTATTTGGTCCCACTTTTTATTTTTGGTCCCACTTTTTATTTTTAGGTAAATATTTGGTCGCACTTTTGAAAGTAGTATCTTATTTTAATTTAATTTCTTTTATATAAATGGAGTATGCTTAAATTCGGGAGTTCATATTTCTGACCATCTCACATTTATAGAAATTACCAAATAATTTGTTAAAATAAGTAAAATAATCAAGATGCCCCTAAAATGGGATTGTTTACATGATACAGTATTTCCAAAACTTTGAAATTCTTTTTTTTTCTCATGTCCGTACATCTTGAAGATGAGATGATCGATTTGAGGATATTTGGGCATAAAAAAAACCTCTTTTATTGAAATTTTTGAAGTGCACTCTAATTTGACTGTTTAGAACCTTGGCTCTATATGAACTTTCCAAAGATAAATGGTCAATGTATTTTTTGACTGTCAATTTTCAAGATTTTTAAGTTTTCATAGATCTACTCGATCTACACTATTTTTGAAGCTTTAAGTTTTATAATTAAAGATGAAAATATATTTTAAGGCTATCATAAATATTTCTAGTATTAAAACCACATTTCTTGACATTATTTGAAGGTGCACTATACTTTTATTGTTTAGAGCCTCAACTCTATACAAACCGCACCTTTTATCTTTTTTACATGGAGGACACAATCATTTCCACTCATTAGATGTCAAATTGGGTAACTTGGAGTGAGTCATGAAGTCCGATAATTTTATTTTTTGACACTTTTAATGACACTTTTACAACTACCCATTGAAATTTAATGATCAGTAATATTTTGACCTCCATGTAATAAAAGATAAAGGGTGTTGATTGTATAGAGTCGAGGCTCTCAATAATCAAAGCAGAGCGCACCTTCAAATAATGTTGAGAAATGTGGTTTTAATACTAGAAATCTTTGTGATAGCTTTAAAATATATTTTCATCTTTAATTATAAAATTTAACACTTAAAAAATAGTGTAGATCAAGCAGATCTATGAAAACTTAAACATCTTGAAAATTGACAGTCAAAAAATGCGTTATAAGATGCATTATTTCTTAAACTTGAAATCCATTTTTTTCTCATGTCTATGCATCTTAAAGTCGATATGATCAATTTGACATCTAATGAGTGAGAATGATTGTGACTTCCATGCACAAAAAAAAATAGTTTTGTTAAGGTGTCACACTATGGAATAATTTATCATTATACTCAGCAAAATTTGGATAAATATATACCTTAGTTTTGTATATGAAGCTTTTTTAGTAAGGGCATTTTTTATAATTAGGAGGGGTGTGACATCACCCACATAGAGTATATTAGTGGCATTTAATGCTCCATGTGGATATGTCACACCGCATGTGGATAACATCACACCGCTCCTAATAACCAAAAATACCCCTATCTAAAAAATATTATACATACAAAATAAAGGCATTGAAGTGTTCAAAATTGTCGAGTACAATAATAAACTACTCAATAGTGTGAGTGTTGGGTTTATGTGGCCTTATGAGAAACTGCGTAAAACATATTTAATAAATGAAACATAAACTCAGTGGGAGTGTGGTCATTTTGTGGACCATATTAAGCAAATGATATTTGTTGATACTCGGACTAGGCTCGACGAGCTAGGCCAGCCGAGGTTTGAAAAAACCCAAGATACCTGGGCATAGGGATCTAACCGAAAAGGTTTTAGTGGGTTATCTCTTGATGAGGTCGGTGTATGCCCGAATGAGAGCCAAGGGACCGTGTGGCCCTTGCGTGTGATGAATAGCCTTTAGAGACATGGCTAAACCCTCATCGTTATATCATCACACAGCATGTATATAGATTGTTGTTTTGATATTTGTTGATGTTGGTGAAGAGTGTACATATGCGAGAGATTACCCCTATGCACCGTAGAGTCATGATTGCATCATGGTCTGGAGGAATATGATTTTTGTCTCTAGGGGAGAACCTGAAATCCATAAACTGAGATTTCGTCCTCTAGTCTATTGGCTGACTTTGGTGGTCTAATCATGAACCCATGCAGTGGACTGTCAGTCGTGGGAACTCTTGGGTTAGTTTGAGAAAGCTAGGTGGATTGTGATTCACAGTTGAAGGTGGAGTGCTCTCATGTATTGATAATTTCCTAGATCTAACGGATCTGATGCTCATCAAAATTAATTAATTTTAATTAATTTATGTTATGTGATTTTTAAAATGTTTATTTGAAATTTTTATGACTCTTTTGATATTTTATTTTTGTCATTTGAATTTATAAATTAAGAAAAATTAAATTTTCAATGTTTTAAATAAAATATAAGACTTAAAAATTCTAAATGTGAAATAAAATATTTTTCTAAAAAAAATATTTGGGATGTTCATAAAATACGGGGCTCAAAAATTTAAAAAGATGGAGATTAGGTAGGGCCCACATGTGGCCACCAAAAGGGTGGCACGGCCCCACCCATTCACGTAACATTCTTGAGAAGAATGTTTATCCTCTTGGTTGACTTATCTTTTTAGGTATAACCAACTTATGTGATAATATTGAATATTTGAGATGTCTACTAATTATTTCAATCAAGATTGATTGATCAAATACTTAAGGATTGGATATATTAAAATATAAACTTTTCTTATTTGATGATAATAGATTTAAGAAATGGAGAATAAGGCTCTAGCTCATCTCTTTGAATCTTGATTGTGGATCAAGCAGATGGATGACTCAAATCTCTCACCCCACAAGTCTCCCTAAATCGACGGTTGAGATTTAACCCTGCGAATCGAGACACAATCTATGACATAGAAAATCTATAAAAGTAGGTCTCCCCCTTATAAAATTACGTATGTACTCTCTCTCCCTACCCTAAAATTTAGCTCTCTCTGGAAAGGGCTTTGGATTACCAAAGAGAGGCACGCCCCAATTTTATCTCTCTCTCTCTCTCCAAGTTGTTTTGGATATCTTTTTCTCTTTGGGAAATTCTCTTTGGGTGGCACGCCTAAGTCATACCGATCACAGATCCGGAGGGCCAACGGAAAGAGGGGACTCGGCGTGGGGTGTACTAAGCCAGGTTGAGGTACTCTCTAGAAATTTTAACCTTTTAAATATTTATTTAAGTTTTGATATTCTTTTTCTATAAAGCAATAAAAGTCCAGTTTTGTTTGTTGAATAAATAATTGTATTCGAAGAGGTAGCAATTGAGAATTGATTTTTTTTTTCAAGAGTGATTTGATTGTAATTGGTCATTGTAAGTGATCTTGCTGGTGTAGGAATAAAGAATTTTTTTTTTAAAATATATACACCGTGCTTTATCATAAAGTCATATAATTGGTATTAGGGCAACGTTTCTTGCTACCTCTGGGATTCAATTTATTTTCTTTTTAATTGAATCCTATATTGCTTTTGGGAAAAAGTGACAAATGGCCGCACAAACTTTCATCTCTGAGATCCTAAGAGCACATGCCATTGGAAATCAACCTGAAGTAACGATTTGTCACTTGGGATGAATCGTTCACTCATTCGAGAAGTACAAGCCACTGGAAATCAACCCGAAGAGCACATGCAAGTGATTCATCTCATGAATTCACTTCCCAATTCCTGGGATACTTTCATCACTTCTGTTGGGGCGCGATCAAAAGCTCCCAAGCTGGAGGAGCTAATCACTGCGCTCAAAGGAGAAGAAGAGAGAAGGAATGTGTGCCACACCCCGGCACCGAAGCAGACAGTACATATGGTAAAATCTAAACCCTTCTTTAAGCCTTATAAGTGAAAAGGCAAAAACATTTTCAAAAAAAAGCAAGGATCTAAGGAGAACAAATATAAAGAGAATAGAGAGACTAGAACTTGTATTGTTTGCAAGAAGGTAGGCCACATAGCAAGGAATTGTAAGCTTAACAAGAATCCAGGAACCAACAAGGAACTTACTTGTGTGGTCTTTGAAACCTTGTTGGCCGACCCCAAGGGTGC